TCCCACTCCATCNGTTTGATTTAGGTTTTTGGGTTGGGTTTGATTCGCATACTATTAACTTACTGAGGTCGCCGGCGATGGAGACGATGGAGGTCGCCGACGATGGAGACGATGGAGGTCACCGGCGAAAACCGGCCGACGTGGGGAAGGGGACGAAGGCGACGGGTTCAAGAGATCCAGAGATGGTGAAGACGATGACAGTCAAAACAGAGAGATCGTAGATAGGGGTTGTTTGTCGGCCGGTTGTCGTCGGTGACGGAAAATGGCAACGAACAAGGGAGTGGAGACGGCAGTGGGTAGAGAGAGTACGAGGCGGCAGCGATCGTAGGTCTGGAGGAGGGGCTGTGAGCGATGTGTGAGGATGATGGAAGAGAGGGCAAATATGGAAAAAGAGAAGTCTGAATGGTTGAGAGACCCCTTAGATGCAAAATGGTTAAGAGGGAAATTGTAACCATTCAGAGCCTTATTTTTTTTTGCCAAACACTCCTCACCTCTTAGCGATTAAGAGGTTGGCTCTTAATGTCACCATTAAGAGCCAAACAAACAGCCCCTAAGACTAACTATTTAAAATTTCTCGTTTTTTTTTGTATTTTTTTGATTCATTTTTTTTAATTTTTGGTTTAATATTATAAATTTTATAAAGATAATAATTAAGTATTCTGTTAGAATTTAATGATTATCCTAATTATATTTCAGATTTTTTATATTTAAAATGAGATGTTTATCTTGTATTTGATAATGTTTATCTGCAATTAGTTACACGAATTCAGATATGGAGCTTTAATAAGTTGTACTTATGCATAATCTACTTGCAATCTTGAGTTTTAAGTAATATGCATTAATAAACAGTACTTTACGCATAAAAAATAGTTTTTAAGAGTTTTTGTCAAATGCTTTATAATACAGTATAGATTAATTGTAAGTAGAAAAATCTTGAATAAATTGGGACACATGATACTAAATTGTAGGGATGACAAAAAAAAAAAAAAACTGAAAATTTTGGGTCAAGTTTGGGGATTTCGGGGATTTTATCGGTTTTTTGGGATGGGGATGGTCATCATTGGTCGTGTATATATATCATTAAAAAAATCATCCTTATTATTACCGTCTTCTTGTAATCTCGTTTTTTAAGGATTGAGAAAATTTTCAGTTCTCGTTTTTTTACTACAGTACTCCCAACTTCATGGCCTGACCTTCAAATTAATCTCCAGATTTTTGGGTTGATTTTTAATTTCGGTTCGAGGATAACAAACGTTGAACGGGGAAAGCAACGGAGAATGCGGACTTTTACGCTTAACGGGTTCCCCAACGGGGGTTCGGGAGACTACAAGGATCCGATGGAATTGGGGGGTTTACGGGGACGATTTTGTTATTGGTTTCACAAATGCCGGTAATTTAAAGACTAAACCATTCAAAATAAAAAAGTTAGATATGTTTTTTTTTTTTATATAATTTCCATCTTTCCTGAAAAATAAAATGCTTTTAGACATTTGACGAAGAGTTGGGTCAATGAGATTGTTATTGACTTGTTAATTAATTTAATTTTATAAATAATGAATATATTAATTATGTTTATAAACTTAATATTAATAATAATGCATTTTTTATATGTAAAATTTAAAACTTTTAACCCATTCCAACTCTTTTGATGACCATTTATATTTTCTCAACCAAACTACAATATTCGATAGCAATATAAAAAACCATTTCATTATTAAAGCTTTTTCTATAGACCTATAGCTTTGTCAATCAGGATTTCTCTAAGGTGGATTAAAGATCTGTAAAGTTATCAGTGTGTTTTTAACTGAATTCCATGTTTTTGGAATTTTAATATTTTTTGGTTGATTTCAAGGTCGTTTTCGTTGTTTTCGCAACACTTTTTTGGTCGATTTCAAAAGATCTTTTTGGTTGGCTTCAAGGGACGTTTTTCGGATATTTGTTTAATGTTCGTTATATTTTCTGATATTCGGAAGCATCCTTCAACTTTTAAAGGGTGCACCTTTTCACACCCCATTTTTTCCTTACAAAATAAGATTGAGCAGGTAAACTGAACCCGGCCTTCTCGTCCGCCACTGACGATGATGATATGGTTAAAAAGCTTATGAAAAACTTGAAAAAGCACCTGTCATAGATGCTCTTATTGTATTTGTATCGGTGAAATATATAAATGGATGATCTAAAGATAAACTTTCAAAGAAATAACGATTATGCATCTCTAAGAAAATGTAAGAAATTTTTCTTTGATTGGTTGGGTGTTTTTTCTTTCCTTTCTATTTTTGTTAAAAACCACTTATTTCGCTCTTTAACATATGATTGAATCAATTTATTCAGTTAGGACCTCGCTTTATGTCGAGCAATGGGTCTTAGAAGAATTCCACTTTTCTCGGCACGACTCTTTCTATCAAAGCCAAAGACGCCCCAAGACAAATTCCAACTGTTGGGAAGGGGACATGATCAATAGAACCTGGCTAAGAAAGAAAAAAAAAGCCCCCCATCTCGTTCGACAACAAGCCCTTGTTCTCAGCACATGTCCTGAACCATACCGTAGCAGCAACTGCTGCTTTCTTTCTATAGAGTGATAAACGAAGGGATCTTGCTTGAATCAAGCTCTCAAAAGATTATAGAATTACAGGCATTTGAGTATACAGTTTAAACAAATTTTGATCAGTTCATCTATTTCAATTTTAGTTAATCTTTTTACTCATTTTTATTCTTTTATAAACAAAATATAACTAAAAATAAAACGAAATTCATCAATTTACCAAGATGCATGACCAAAAAACTCCCAATTTTATTGTATGTTCTTAATTTCTATGTGAAAGTCTTCCAAGAAGGTTCTTAAAGGGAAAGAAGGGTTCCAATCCAACAGGAAAAATGGTCAAAGTCTAACTGATATAGAACTCCAACAATTTATATTGCAAAATATTAATTATATATGTAAAATATTACTAATTTTTTAAATAAAATAATTCAGTAAAAATAAATTACCATCTAAATATCTATAGTATATTATAATACATTTGGCTAAAACTCTTAAAAACTCTTAAACTCTTAAAACTCTTAAACCCGTTCATCCCTATCCGATTTCATCCCATAACTGAATCCGTGTAAC